AATAGTGCTATAGCATAGTGGTTATGAATCGGGCTGCAAACTGCAAGGTCAGCAGTTTGAAACTACCAACTGTTCTGCAGGAGAAAGATGAGGCTTTCTGCTCCTGTGAAGATTTACAATCTCAGAAACCCTGTACAGGGTCGCTATGAGTTGGAACCGATTCCACGGCACACAACAACGACTCTTGATTTTTTGTGGTTGTCATCTGCTTGATAAAGTTTTTTTCCCCCTAGCCTTTGATTTTTTAGCTTATTTTGTCTTTGTGTCTACGGTGTGTCTATTAGACAGCATTTTGATGCTTCATGGTTTCTTATCCATTCTGCCACTTTCTGACTTTTGACTCCTATGGTTAATTCATTTATAATCAGTGCAATTATCAACAGGTATGAATCTATTGCTTTTATTATGTTGGGTGTGTGTGTCTTTGCTCCATATATTTTCTCTGTGGCAAGTTCTTTTTTTTAATGGATTTTCTTTTCACTTCCTTAGTTGCTGTTGATTTTACTGAGTCTTTATGATTTTCTTCTTTTTTTATTTCAGTTAGAAGATTTATTAATTTTCTTTGTGGTTACTCTGTAATTGTCATTTTCCTAACTTTAAAAGAATCTGTTTCATCTTTATACCATCTTGACTTTTTCTACATTTGCAAACTTTGTAACTAAGTCTCTGGTTCCCTATTTTCAATCTCACAGGTTTCATTTTTGAAAATTCTTCCATCTTGGTAGTTTTCCAGGGGAGATTTTCATGTGTCTTAATCTCAGGTGGTTGTCTGATGTTGCTGATTCTCTGTCCAAAGGGATTGTCTTTGGCATTTCTTTTAAGGTTGGTCTAGTTTTTACAAAGTCTTTTAATTTCTGTTTATCTAGAATTATCTTAATTTTGTCATCAGATTTGAGGGACAATTTTCTCTGTGTATTTGTTTTTTTTTTCTTTCTTTCTTCCTTTTCTTGTTCCAGAATTCTGATCAAACATTCTTCTTGATGGTGTTCCACATAATTCATAGGCTTTTTTCATTTTTTTTCCTGATTATTCTTCTAATGTTGTTGTGATGTGCCGTGGAGTCAGTTCTGACTCATAGTGACCCTGTACAGGGTTTTCAAGGTTGTAAATCTTTATGGGAGCAGAAAGCTTCATTTTTCTCCCACAGAACAGCTGGTAGTTCCGAACTGTTGACCGTAAGATTAGCAGCCCGATTTGTAACCACTACGCTACCATAGCTCCTCTAACATTAGTAGCAAGGAATTTGTCTTCCGTTTTGCTGGTTCTGTCTTTCATTGATTCTATTCTACTCCTTTGTCCTTCCAATGCATTATATATTTCTCATATTTCAGTGTTATTCTGATTTTCTAACTGCTGTTTTAGTATGGTTTCTGTCTATTTATTTTGTCAATTTATTACTATATTGCTTTCCTGAATTTCTCTGGCTTTGTCTGTACTTTCCTTGATTATTATTTCCTTGTTTGTTTTTGTTTTTTAACTGTATTTTCATTGATCCCTTCTTCAGTTCAAAGACCTAAGTATAATTCTTTAAAATTCCCTATGAGGTACTTCCATTACCATTTCTTCCTTAGAAAGGTGTCCTAGCCCTGCATTTTAGTCACTTGCTTGAGCCACTTTGTCCTGTTCATTTATGTGATTTGAAGTTGTCTGTTGTCTCCAAGACTCTGTGGCACTATTGTATTTATATGTTGATTGTTTATCAGTTTATTTCAGTCTGATTTAACATATCCACGAGGGTCAGAGCCTTGGTAGAGCAATGGGTTACCCAATGGGCTATAAACTGCAAGGTCATCAGTTCAAACCCACCAGCTACTCCATGGCAGAAAGATGAGCTTTATGCCCATGTAAAGATTTACAGTCTTTGAAACCCTATACTGGGTCACTATGAGTCAGAACCGACTGGATGGCACACAGCAACAGCAGGAAGACTGGGCATGTCATTCTGGTTGTTAGTTTGGGAGCATTGGAGTGCTAACCATCTGTTTTGGAGTGGGCTGGGAGTGAGGGCACAGGTCTCCATCTGCTGGTTGTGTAGTGCAGCTGAGGGTGGGATGGATGGGTGCTGGATGCTGTCTGTTGTGTGTGGTGGCATTTGCCCAGTGATGGAGCAGGTAGTAGGTATGGCTTAGTAGTGGAAATGTGACTGCTACCTCCCATCAAATAGGGCAGAAAACGAGGGAGAGAGAGAAAAAAAGAGAAGAGATATAATTATAGGAAGAGAAGACAGAAAAACAAAAAGAAATGGAAAGAAAGAAAGAAAAAATGTGGCAAGGTATGAGCACTCACTGCTAACTACAGGGGCAGCAGGCACACAATGTGTGCAACCCACAGGAGCACACTGCAATCACCAGCGGAGCAAAGTGTAGGGAGCCACGGGGTGGAGAGAGGGTCATGTGGGGTAGGAGGGAAGAGGGGAGGCACAACTCTGATCAGAGGAAGGGTGTCATGGGGAGAGTACATTATTGAGGTTAGTGATCACCAGTATGCTAGTCTACTCCTGGGAAAGCACAATTGGTTATCTGGCTTCCGTCCTGACTCACTGCAAGCTGAGAAGGGTGGGGGTGGTGGTGCACAAAGTCCAGTGTCTACAGCCTCTATCCCACGGATACTTCCCTCTGCGTGGGCCCCTAACGTAAAACACCAGGGAACACTTCTGGTGAGTAGTTCTATCCCTATTTACTTTTTCCCTCTATGGTTTCTGTTTGCCTCAGTCTATGAAGTTCTCTCCCAGTTTTCCTCTTAGTTTTAGCTTGTGTTCTGCTCACATTGGTTCATTTTAGATTTGTTTATTCTATGCCTCTATAGTACTGGGGGTTCTGTGCAGTGCCTTCCTGTGCTCCTCAGAACATGCAATGTCTCAAATGGTCATGCTCTGCTGGGTTGGATGGCAGGGCACTTCCACTTTTCATCTCTCCTTTTGTTCAATCTCTTCTTTTCATCTGTATTTGATCTAACTCTTTATTCTTTCATTTGATGCTCGGGGTTCCAGAATTATCTGTACTCATATTTGTTTCACTTGACTTCTCGGGTCTTTGTTATACAGGGATGGAGTAGAGTGTCTAGCTAGGCTGCCATTTTAGCTCTACCTCCACCTTATTTTTCTTGAGAGACACAGCTGTCATAAAATATGTAAACATTTATTTATTATTGGTTTTCTTTACTGGAGTGCAGACCCATGAGGGTGAGAATTTGTCTTCTTCACTGATGTAGTACTAAGAATAGTGCCTGGAATGTACTAAGTATTAATTCATAATTGTTGAATAAACAAGAAATGACTTTGGGCAACTGTGTTAAGTCCTTTTTCTATTTCTTCCTGAGGCTGCTAATATAGGCCTGCTTCTAGCATTATAATCCATTTCTAATCTGCTTCTTGTTGCAAACCATACAAGAAAATGTATTAGATTTTTTCCAAAGCAAGTATAAAAGGGTTTAACATAAAGTCCTGAAGTACCTTCCTCTCATTAACATGTATAAACTGTTGTTGTTAAGTGCTGTCGAGTCGATTCTGACCCCATAAGAGGCAATATATGGTAGTAGAGACCAAGAGCATGGGTACTGACTCTGAGTCACAACTCTGTCGCTCATTACCTGTACGACATATGGGCAAGTCACTTGACCATTTTGTACCTCAGTTATAACTTACATAGATGGGACTTCAAATAAAATTCAGAAGCAGTCAGAACCTGGTAAGTCAATTAACAATTACAGTCCCAAAGGCTATATATATTATAGATACATGTTTCTTGTTAAGTTGTTTGTGGTTTTTATGTTCATTTTTTGCTGTTGTTGTTACATGCTGCTGAGTTAGTTCCTACTCATAGTGATCCTATGCATAAGAGAATGAAACATTGCCTGGTCCTGTGCCAACCTCTCAATCGTTGTGACACTTGAGCCCATTGCTACTGCACTGTGCCAATCCATCTCATTTATCATGATTTTATTTATTGGTCCAGTTGTGAGAATTTGTTTTCCTTTACATTGAGGTTCAATCCACACTGAAAGCTCTGGTCTTTGATATTCATCAGTAAGTATTTTAAGTCTTCTTTTCTTTCAGCAAGCAAGGTTGTATCATCTGCTTATCACAGATTGTTAATGAGTCTTCTTCCAATCCTGATGCCACATTCTTCTTCATATGATCCACCTTCTCAGATTATTTGCTTAGCATACAGAATGAGTAAGTATGGTGAAAGAATACAACTCTGGCACACACCTTTGCTCATTTTAAACCGTCCAGTGTCTCCTTGCTCTGTTCCTCACGAGCACAATTAAGTGTTCTAGAATATCTATCCTCTGCAATGTTATCCATAGCTTGTCAAGAGTCATGGAGTCAAAAGCCTCTGTAGTTAGTAAACACAGGTAAACATCTTTCTTGTATTCTCTGCTTTCAATCTCAATTGTTATACGGTGGTTCAATTAACTTTCAATTCTTGATGTTTTAATTATGTCTGTCTCTCACGACCTCTGTTGGGTCCTCTCAAGACCCTCCAGGTCTAGCCTGGGAATATTTTTTTTGATGCAGCCAATCTGATCAAAACCATTTTCCATCAACTCATGCTGTATCCAGTTCCTTCTGTCTTTTGTTCTGGCTTTTCTATCCCCAAACCATTATTCAAGATGGTCACATGCCAAAAATAACCTTTATTGTTCTGCTAAAGATGCCATGTTTCTTTAAGTCATAGTTCCAAACTGAATTCCTGCCAGAAAAATTGCCTTCCATTCAGTTTTTCTGTAAGCAGTGCTGAGTCCAACTCATTCTGTCTTTGAGGCATGAAAATTAATACATTCATGTTTAATTATTTTATTGATGCTATGCCTTGCGTTTTCTGCCTCACCCATCTATTTCTTTAAGGCCATAACCCTCTTTATTATATTCCCTAAGCTCCTTGTATAAAGCCATACATTTTGTAGACACTCAAAGATTCTTGTTGATGGACCAAGCAGTAGGGGAAAACCAAGGGAAGATGAGGATACTATAATGAAATGGAAAACAAATGACTTACTATCATCCACAGGACAAAAGGTAATGTTTACCCAATCTGAATGTTCATCTTCAAATTCAGTCCTGACTCGCAGAATGTGGTCACCATACTTGGAAATACTTGAGAAATCGCATTCCATCAAGGCAGTATTCTTGCATTTATCTTGGAAGCTGTTATAACTACAAAAGCAGAAAAAAATGAAATAAATTAACAAGAAGCTGTTCTAACTACAAAAGCAATCTCTGAGACTTAGTTATTCTTTATTCCCATTGCTATCAAAGACTGAGAAGAACTATCAAATTTGTTTGTTGTTGTTAGGTGCCATAGAGTTGGTACCAACCCATAGTGACCTTATGCACAGCAGAACGAAACACTGCCCAATCCTAGACCTCACTACTGTTGCCATGCTTGAGTCCATTGATGCTGCCACTTGGCCAATCCATCTTGTTGGGGGTCTTCCTCTTTATCTCTGACCCTCTACCTTACCAAACATGATATCCTTCTCTAGTGATTGGTCCCTTCTGACAATATGTCCAAAGTATGAGAGACGAAGTTTGGCCATCTTGGCCTCCAAGGAGCACTCTGGCTGAACTTCTTCCAAAACAGATCTATTGGTTCTTTTGACAGTCCATGGCACTTTCAATATTCTCCTCCAATACCATAACTCAAAAGCATCAATTCTTCTATGGTCTTCCTTATTCACTGTCCAGCTTTCACATACATATGAGGTTACTGAAAATACCATGGCTTGGGTCAGGTGCACCTTAGTCCTCAAGCTGACATCTTTGCTCTTCAACACTTTAAAAAGGTCTTGTGCAGCATATTTGCCTAATGCAATACGCCATTGTAGGTATATGCAAATCAGTCTTGGAGGCAGTACAGCCAGAATGGTACCTTAGAAGCAAGGATGGTGAGATTTTGACTTGTTTATTTTGGGTATGTCATCAGGAAAGACCAATTGCTGAAAAGGGCATCACGTTTGGAACAAAAGAAGGCCAGGAAAAATGAGTGAAGGCCTTCAGATGATGGACTGACATACTGACTGCAACAACGGGCTCAAAATAGACCAGCAAATCTGATCATGATGCACAGGACTGGGCAACGTTTCCTGCTTTGATACACAAGGTTGCCATGAGTCAGAGCCAACTCAATGGCAACAAATAACAATGCATATATTTTTCAAACTGCGCTCCATGGAACCCTAATAACCTTTTGTTGTTGTTAAGTACTGTCGAGTCGATTCTGACCCATAGCGACCCTGTATAGGGTTTCCAAGGAGAAACTGGTGAGCTTGAACCACCGACCTTATAGTTCAAATGACTTTGCAGTCTGACCCTTTAGATATTATAAATCATCCAAAGAATGTTTAAATAATCTGGAGGTGGGGGGAAGATTGCATTAAACACAGTTAAATAGGTATCATCGTAACAGGATTTCTCAAGAGATTTTAATATCCTAAAGAGACTTTGCCTCTCGTACTTTGGACATGTTGTCAAGCGTGATCAGTCCTTGAAGAAGGACATCATGCTTGGTAAAATGGAAGGTCAGCGAAAAACTGGAAGACCCACAATGAGATGGACAGACACAGTAACAGCAACAATGGACTCAAGCTTAACGATTGTGCGGATGACACAGGACTGGCTGGTGTTTCATTCTGTTATGCATAGGGTTGTTATGAGTTGGAACCAACTCAATGGCACCTAACAGCAACAACAAAATGAGTATGGGTTTCTCCATAAAGACACTGAATGTTCAACTATTGACCAAGAAAAATTCATTCTTGGATTACATATTTCTGAGTGCAATAATTTGGGAAATATTGGTAAACACAGATTAACCAAAATCATATTACAGTGATTTCTAATAATGTCCTATAAATAACTATAGTTGTAATTACTCTAGAAAAAACTATAAAATGATTCATTGATCTCTAGCTCTGCCACTCTCTCCACCCCCAACCACTGAAAGGAGGATGACAGCAACTTGAAGTTGGAGGAGAAAAGGGATGATTTTGGGCAATATATTCTGGAGGTAACACAAATGCCATTTCACATAATTACACAACAGTCTTAGTTGGTATAAATAGTTACACTTGACCTGGGGAAACCCAGGTGAGGTATCTGTCTCATTTCCCAGTGTGTCTTCCTCTCTTGGTGCTAAAAACCATTTCCAAATTTAGCTGCTCTTGTCTGTGATGATGAAAATGATGGTGATAAAAATAATAGCCAATATGTATCGAGCACTTACATGTCAGGAAGCATGATAATACTGATAATACTCCAATTGTATAGAAGAGGAACAGGCATGGAGAGCTCGTGCAACATGCCCAACAGAACCCAGATCTATTTGACTTCAGAGCCCACTGTCTTAGGCACCACACCACATCTCATGCCTTGCTTAGCGATGCCCATAACAAATTTACATATTTGGGATCTACCACTTGACAGTCTGCTTTTTTCACTTAATATACAATAAACATTCTCCAACCAATGAACTCTTCATTGCTTAGCAACCTACCATTTGCAAAACCTGAGGGTAATTTCATTAAAGGGTTTTTCTTATATGTGACCATTTCTTTCTCTAAATTAATGTATCAATTAGCAGGAATCACATAGAATTTCAGAAGGTGTTTTGCAACAACCCATCTTTCTACTTCATTTAAAAATGCCTTCCTTCCCAATAAATGGGTAATATGACCCATGTTTACATCTAATTCTGGATTTTTCCATAAGAAAACCACCAATATGCCTCTGAAGTGACAGACCTCTCCTCCTGTAGTCATCCTAATGTACACATGTAACACAGTCTGTGCTGTGCCCCTCACTCAATCTAAATTCTAAACAACACTTATGGAGCCAAAGAAGAATAATCAAATATTTAGGGATCAAATTTCATCTCCAAAGACATATTCCCATGCTGAGGAAACCTTTGGAACCCAGGCACGGGCTCCCAATTGATAACTGCCACCTGCCTCTATCCCTTTGCAAGGTCACTGAGAACACTCATCTACAAGATAAATACTCCAAGTCAAGGACTGTTAATATAAAAGGGAAGAAGCAAGGCATGTGCAATGATGACTACAGAGGAGAAGGACAGAAAGAGAGAGCAAATTTCCCCAGTGAAATCATTAGATCTAATGAGACTGAGTGAAGAAAACAGATTAAATAAAAACCCACCTACTCAAATCAAACCCAACCAGTGCCATTGAGCCGATTCTGACACACAGTGACAGAGTAGAATGGCCCATCTTGTTTCTAAGGCTATAAATCTTTGCAGAAGCAGACTGCCACATTGTTCTCCTGCAGAATGGCTAGAAGGTTCATACTGCAGCCAAGCGCTTACCCACTGTACCACCATGGTTCCTTCAAATCAACCAGTATGAGAAAATATGAGGGCTTCAAAAGTTTGTGGAAAAAATGGAATGAAAAGATAATGGAATTTTTCCATGAATTGTTTGAAGCCCCCTCACATACCTTAGAGAAACAAATGTAGAATGACCCTTTTGAAGTACTCTAATATTTAAGTGGTGTAGAAGTTTAGCTGAAGCCCTACTCAACTAATAAAAACATCTGGACAAGCAGATGCTGAACACACTATGATTCACATACTCAATGGACTACTGTGCAGCTTTTAAAAAAAGAACAAAGATGTTCTCTATGAATTGATATTGATAACTGAAAAAAATGTAAGCTATAAAAGCATATATTGATTATGCTACCCTTTAGGGAAAAAATAAAAGCAAACAGAAACATACATATATCTGCTTAGCTTTGAAAATGCACTCACATACACACACAAACATACACAAAGTAACACACCTACCACACAGAAAGGATAACCCCAAAACTAACGACATTGGTTATAGTCAGGGGCTGGGGAGTTGGGGAATAGGGCAGAAGGAACAGAGGAAGGAGTGACATTTTCCTAAGTATACCTTTGTATATTGTTCTTATTGTGGGATTGTGTTAATGTTTTACATGGTATAAATAAAATAAAATTAAATAAATCAGGTTGAGAGAAAATCCCTAAATCTGAGTACAAATAGTAACAAATGAATAACCTCTTTCAAATGAATAGAACAAATTCACTAAATGGAAAAACAAAATAACTTATCAAAAGTATTATAGTATTATATTGCCTCTAAACCCATAGCCTAAAGAAAAAATAAAAAATAAAACAAGTAAACAAATCATGAACCATCCAGTGTTTGTTCTTCATAGTTGTATAAGAGTAGGAACTCTACAATTTTGAGTATAGTAATTCTGAAACTGGTTGGTTGAGCAAACAAATAAATTTACAGATGTTGGGAGCCTGGGTTATTCTCACTGTGGGGAATAAGAGACACAATAGGGAATAAAAGAAGCTACAAAGAAACACCCATTGGGCCTAGAAGTTGTGGCACGCCAGTAGCAAGGAACACACCTGCCTTCCAGATCTTGGTTGCCGAACTCAATTGCTAGTAAAAGGAACTGTGTTCTTTGGAGAAGCAACTCATTCCAGAGAAGGAGCACAGAAGCTACAGGATTAGGCTGGAGCATCTTGTGCCACCAAGTAAAGAAGTGCTCATAAAATTTATAAATAAAATGACAGGGCCATGTCCACAGAACACAAGAGTCAGCTGGAAAGCATTTGCCTTGGCCCAAACTGTGACAATTTGAACATTGAAATAAACATGGACAGGAAGGGATTACAATCCACTGAAGTAAGATTTATGAGTTCCTGTTGTCAGTAAATAGCTACATACATAATTAGCTGGGAAAGGAGGAAAGTGCTTCCTTCTAGCAGAATAGTAACTCATAAATCCAGGAATGATGGAATTAGAAAATTATTATTTTGTAAACATAATAGTAAAAGTTGATTTAAGTAAAAATCATCTGTAGATGCTAAATCCAAAGTAGAGAAGTCTGATGAAGAATAGGCTATACCTTTACTATCTCTTCACAGATTACTTATTAATTACAAAAAGAAATATACAGCGAAGAAACTGGACAACCCCTTAACCAAGTGATTAAAATTATCATCATCATTTTGGACCATATAACTAACCATCAATGAAGATCAAACAGCACAGCCTTCGGTATGGATTGCATTTCAACGTAAAGAAAATACTTGAAGTTGTCAAGGATTTCATTCTTCTTAGATCAATTATCAACACTCACGGAAGCAACAATCAAGAAATCAAACAACATATTGCATTAGGCAAATCTGCTGCACAAGACCTTTTTAAAGTGCTGAAGAGCAAATATTTCAGCTTGAGGACTAAGGTGCGCCTGACCCAAGCCATGGTATTTTCAATAACCTCATATGCATGTGAAAGCTGGACAGTGAATAAGGAAGACCGTAGAATTGATGCTTTTGAGTTATGGTGTTGGAGGAGAATACTGAAAGTGCCATGGGCTGTCAAAAGAACCAACAGATCTGTGTTGGAAGAAGTGCAGCCAGAGTACTCCTTGGAGGTCAAAATGGCCAAACTTTGTCTCTCATACTTTGGACATATTGTCAGGAGGGACAAGTCGCTGGAGAAGGATGTCATGTTTGGTAGAAAGAGGAAGACCCCCAGTGAGATAGACTGATAAGGTGGCAGCATCAATGGGCTCAAGCATAGCAACAACTGTGAGGTTGGCCCAGGATTGGGCAGGCTTCGTTCTGCTGTGCATAAGGTCGCTATGAGTCGGTACTGACTCGATGGCACCTAACAACAAACAACAACAAACCATCAAATGTCTCCCCATGTAAAACCCTGTGATATTATTGGTGTGGTATGAAATTGAAATGAGGGAAATGATAACTCAATGGCAGAATTCTTGCATTCCTTGTAGGAAACCTGGGTTTGATTCCAACCCAATATATCTCATGTGCAACCACCACTCGGCTGGCACTGCAGGTATGTATGTTGCTATGATGCTGAACAGGTCTTAGTGGAATTTCCAGACTAAGATGGTTTAGGAAGAAAGGTCTGGCAGTCTACGTCTGAAAATCAGTCAATGAAAACCCTATGGTTCACAATGGTCTGTCCCATGTGGTTGTCATGAATTGGGGACAACTAGATAGCAGCTAACAATAACATTAAACTAATCAAATGCATCTTCTGATCTTATCTCATCATGATAAAACATCTGAGACATTTTTCTATAAAGTAATGGTCTTATGGTTTTCAAAAATACTCCTATCCAGGAAAAGAGAAAGGCAAGAACCTATTGCAGATTAGAGGAGATGAAAGATGCAATGTGTGATCTTGGATTGGATCCTTAGGACAACTGACGGAACTGGAATATAGATTTGTTGAGACAGTTCTGATGCATAGTGACCCTGAATAGGATTTCCAAGGAGCGACAGATCCTGCAGTTCAAACTGATATTGCAGTCTAGCATATTAATCCACAGTGCCACACCAGGACTCTGGAAGACACTTAATAAAGCAAATACGGCACAAGTTAAAAAATGCCAATTACGGATATAGAACATATAGCAATCTTTTATACCATTCTTGAGATATGGAAATTTTCAGTTAACTTGGGATGATTTCAAAGTTACAAAAGGAAAACAAAAGGCCATAGGGACAAGACAGTCTTACTTATCTTTCTATTTATTTTTTGAGGTTCCTATGTGGCACACAGAGTTTGCTCTGGTGAGGCACTGTAGGAAAAACACTGGATTGCTAACCATAAGCTTGGTGGTTCAAACTCACCAGCTACTCCTTGGAAACCCTATACAGGGTTGCCATGAATTGGAACTGACTTGAAGGCACACAGCAGCAGCGACAACAACAACAACAACTAACCTAAAGAATGTCAATTCAAATCTACCCACTGGTGGAATGAAGTCTGGCCAGGATATGTTTGAAGAATAAAAGCTGACTGAGGTACACGGGTTCATTGGATCTTGGTCCTCCATTTCTTCCCTGTCTACCTGAAGAATTTGTCCATCTCTTCATGTTTCAGAGTCAAAAAGGAGGAGGGGTATCCACTCCTTAGCCTGTCGCTTCCTCTGTTGTCAGTACCTGATATAAAGGTGTGTCTTCTATAGTCAATCCTGTGTATACAGTGGCAGGCTGCCAAGGAAGGACTGACATGGACTTCTGTCACAAGGCATAGGAAAATATCAGTAGGCAGGACAGGATACAGGGAGGTACAGCACCACTGAGACCACTGTCTTTGGTAACACTCATCCTTCCTTCATAAACTTGCTCAGCTTTCAGAGAACTGGCTATCTGGTTTACCTTCATCTCAGGCGATGGCCTCAGGGAAATCTAGTATAGGTAGCTGTCTCTAGGCCCCTGTAGAAGGGCAAATGACCAACCCCAAAACTCTATGTAGCCACAGAGTAACTGAGTATTCACTGTGTACCCCCTCCGTACCGGAGTGTGCTGTTATAATCTACTGGAGGTGGTTGGGTAGTAAGACAGCCCAGGTCTTCCTGATCACTTGGCACAGGATAGGTATCACTATCCTGATACCTAGTTTTCTTAGAAAGCTTCCAACTGCAAACAGTTGACTTCTAACAAAATAACTCTAATAATCAGAGATGTTATTAGTGGCATTTTTCTCAAAACAAACAAACAAACACGTTATTTGCTAGGCGTCGTTTTGTCAATTCTGACTTGAGTGACCCCATGTAATAATGGAGAACTGCCTCACAAGGTTTCCTAGGCTGGGATAAAGCACTGGACCTCAAGCCTGGCAGTTCAAACTTACCAGCTGCTCCTTGGAAACCCTGTAGAGAGTTTGCTATGAGTCAGAACTGACTGGATGGCACTTCATAACAACAGCAACAATCTTTATCAGAGGTAACCTGGCGATATAGTGGGTTAAGAATTGAGCTACTCAGAGAGCGGGACCCTACCCAGAGATGCAGTGATGCCTGAAATGGAGCCAGAGATGATGACGTGGAGCAATGGAGCAGCTGGAGACTTTAGATCCAGAGAGGGAGAGCGACTGTGTGCTGAAGACCTGGGGGGCACGGGAGAAGGATTGCATGGAGGGGATTGTAACCATGGCAATGAGATGATATACGATACAATGAGTGTAAAACTAATGTTCTCCCATGTAAGCTATCACATAATTCATAATAAAACATTGAAAAAAAAAAAAGAATTGAGGTACTAACCTCAAGCTCAGTGATTAAAACCCATCAGCTGATCCTCAGGAGAAAGATGAGGTTGTCTACTCCCATAAAGATTTATAGTCTCAGAAACCCTACACTATGAGTCGGAATTTACTTGACGGCAGGGGGTTTTAGTCTAATCTTTACAGAAGTGGATGGCCAGGTCTTTCACCTGCAGACTTGCTGGGTGGGTTGAAACCACCAAGCTTTCAGTTGAGAGGCTAATCTTTGTGCCACGAGGGTTCCTTACACTGTGACAAATGAACTATGTTTTCTGTAGTGCCAGGCTACCACTGTGGCTAATTACATTTATAGCTACATGATAAAATGTTTCTATCTACCAGAAGCCCCGAGAGAAATACAGAGGAGTCCTGGTGAGGTGCTGGAAGAGAAGCTAACCACAAGGTCAGCGGTTCAAACCCACCAACCACTCCTTGGAAACCCTACACAGGGTGGTTATGAGTTGGAACCGACTTGGCGGCACTTGACAACAATAACGAATGTCTAAGGTGTGGCAGGTGTGGCACCTGCCCTGGATGGCTCTTGAAGGTGTGGGGGCGGGGAGCTCACCACTGAGCAGTTTCTCTTCACCATCATAGTTTCCACTACCAGCTGTGAGAAACCATTCAGCAAGTCAGAACTAATAGTTTAGTATTTGAGAGCCTCGTGGGTCAAGGCAGACTGTGTGACCTTGCTCTGTGGAGTATAGAAAGAGAAGCAACTGAAGGGAGTGATTTTGAGGACGTCACAGACTGACTTTCATCAGTGACAGCACACAAGGTGCAGCTGTCATTTCCAAGCAGTGCCATCATGTGTTAAGAAAAAGATTAATGAGCGTGGCTTGTATTATCACCCATCTGCTGCCATCCAGTTGATTCCAACTCATAACAACCTTACAGAACAGAGAAGACTTTCTCCATAGGGTTTCTGAGACTGTAAATCTTTACAGAGCAGAAAGCCTTTTCATTTTTCTCCTGTGGAGCAGCTGGTGGTTTTGAACTGCCTATCTTGCAGTTAGCAGTCTAGTGCTTAATTCACTGTGCCACCAGTGAAGTTATCTGAAAGATGCATGTCGAATGTTTGGACAGGGGTGTCATTTCAGGGCTTACCATATGCCCTGTTTTCTGTAGATACACCTCTGGAGAGTCAAACCATTAACCACCACGAGGAAAAGGAAAAGGAAAAGGAAAAGCTAACCACAGGAACTTCTTGAACAGAAGGAGAAAGGTCAACAAGAAGCTCTCTGTGTTGTTAGGATCAGGTGCCAACAGAAGTCAGAATTGTCCTGTGGTCCAGCCCAGGGACAGGGCCACCATCCTCTGATGCCTTCCCACCAAGAGTGCGACCAGACCCACCTTTGGAACTGAGCCGTGTAAGTCAGATTTCCTTCAGAAAAAGCTGGAGACTCCCACTGAAGAATGTTCTTGAAATTAACTGAATTCATTCTGACATTTTCCGGAGGAGGTACTATTCTTAATGCTGTAAAAATAAAGAAAAACATTTGCAACTTTTCTTAAAAATGGTTTCAAAAAAAAAAAAAATGATGACATCCAAAACATCCAAACGTGGCTCTCCTCTATTGCTCTTAAAATGTCGTGTGGGTTATGGAAAGAGAGAGACACAGAGTAATGTTGGGAGGTAGACAGAAGCCAGATCATACTGTTAACTTTGCTAAGGATTTGGGATTTGATTTGAAGAACCAGGAGAAGCAATTTCTGGGGAGAAGCAATGACATGGGGACAGATACAGGGCTTGGATTTGGGTGATGTGAGAGGGCAGAGTAGAGTGGATGGATTGTAGATATATTTTCAGAGATATGAACTCTAGACTTGCTCATGTATTTGATGTACTTAAGCACCCGGTTCCGTTCTAGCCATGTGATGTACGATGCTGGGGAAAGATTTAAGTAGGTGTGCCTGTAGGAGAGACAGCTGGATGAATGGGCCAGCTGCCTAGAGGAGAGATTTTTGAGCTACAGATAGAAATTATTTTTAAACTTTATAATTATAAAGAATTTCAAATATACACAAAAGTAGAGAGAAAAGTCTAATAAACCAGAACCAGCCCATGACCCAACCACTGCCAAGAGCGATCTACATTGGAGAGCTGTGGATCTGTTGTTGTTGTTGTTGTTAAGTGCTCTTGAGTTGGTTCTGACTCATAGTGACCATATGTACAATAAAAGGAACACTGCCCCAGCCTGGGCCATTCTCACAATTATTGCTATGCTGAGTGAGTCCATTGTCATAGCCACTGTGTCAAGCCATCTCACTGAAAGTCTGCCTCTTTTTCTCTGACCTACTACAACTGATATTTAATGTCAGGGTTGTGCTGGAACTTTCTGAGGGGATATTTTAGGGGAAAGAGAGAATGAATTTAACTACAGGTAAGTCCCTTAATTTAACAACAGTCCCTGATTTAGGACATATTTCAGTTAGGACAAAATGCATTAAAGACTGTTTTTTTTTTTTTTTTCCTGCACATCTTTCATTAGTAAGGAGTCCAGGTGTGACACTGTGGGATAATGCGCTGGACCACAAGGTCAGTTTGAACATCAAGGTCGGTGGTTCAAACCCACCAGCCACTCCTCAGAAATTGAGGAGGGTTTCTATGGGTTGGAACTGACCCTACGGCACTGAACAGCAACAACATCATTATTAAGGGGAGCTCACTGGCTATGTATATAAGCAATAGACTGTGAACCACAAGGTTGGCAGTTTGAGTCCACCAGCCTTTCAGGGGCAGAAAATGAGACTTGCTGCTCCTGCAAAGATGGAGCATCTCAGAAACCTCATACACGGTAGCTATGAGTAGGAACTGACTGGATGACACTTAACAACAAAATCTTCAGTAATATATATTACATATAAGAAACTCTGGTAGCGTAGTGGTTACGAATCGGGCTGTGATCTGCAAGTTCAGCAGCTCGAAACTACCAGCTGTTCCTCAGGAGAAAGGTGAGGCTTTCTGCTTCCATAAAGATTTACAGCCTCCGAAACTCTGTACAGGGTTGCTGTGAGTCGGAACTGACTCCACAGCACATAACCACCACCACCCTCATAATGTTGCAGTGCATAATTTACTGATGTAATTCTCAAGTGTTCGTTTCAAGATGTTGATATGTAATGTTTTCCAACCTTATAAAGATCCAACAATAAAAGGCAGTACTATTGAAAACTAAAAAAAAAAAAAGAGGAATTTGACTTACTCAGAACCAACTTGCAACTGAGTTTTAGGGAAAGAACCCCTTCTGAAGTTGGGGACTATTTATATTTAGAGATCTGGTAGAGAAGGGGAGTCTCTGGGTGGTGTAAATAGTTAATGCATTTATGTAGCTGATAACCAAAAAGTTGGAGGCTCGAGTTCACTCAGGCAGGCACACTTTAAAAGAAAGGCTTGGTGATCTAATTCCAACAAATCAGGCATTAGAAACTCTATGGGACACAGTTCTATTCGGACACACATGGGGTGTGAGTGGGAACTGACGCCCTGGCAAGTGGTTTGGTAGAAAAGGAGTAGAAACAACCTTTGAGGTAGGAAGAAAACGGGAGACAGAGTCTCCTGAAAGTCAAAGGAAGAGTTTGCTAGAAAGGAAGAAGAGTCATTCATGCTGTTTGGACTGGGCAGTTAAGAGGGCAGAAAATATTTTCCTTGATTGAGGATTCATAATCATACAGCTAGCTGTGGGGGTAAGGAGCAGAATTCAGATTTTGGGGTTTGAGGACCGAAAGAGGAAGTGTAAGAAAGTGATGCAGGCACTCCTGCCAGGAAGTCTGGCTGGGAGGAGCTCAGAGAAATGGAGTGGACTCTAGAGGACCTGGAGTCTGGGAAGGGGTGTGAGGATAAGGATAGGGACTTTGAGTGCTGTTTGGCGGCCTGTACTGACTGCGATGAACTCAAGGAGGGTCTGATGGCCAGTACTGTGGGGCGCTTTACTCCTTTCAGGAAAAAGGAGGTCCTACCAGACAGGGCGCTGTAGGAGGGAATACAAGGACACCAAGATCTTACCCTGTGGAGTCCACAGTCTCAACTCACTGCTACTGAATGGATTCCGAGTTCTTAGCGACCCTGTGTACATTTTCCGAAGCTGTAAATTTTTAAGGAAGCAGAAAGCCTCATCTTGCCCCTGCCCCCAGGACCCACTGTTGGGTTTGAACTGCCAACCTTATGTCTTACCCCTGTAGAGCCCACAGTCTAGAAGGTCTGTAATCCTGTCAATTATAGGGTTGAGAGTATTAACAGTCAGGACCCAAGTTAGCAGCCTCTCTGCCCATATGCCTTGACCGTCGGACCCACACTACATCATGGGGGCCGAACAGGGACAGGGCGCCCCCTGTGGTGACCACCGCCCGGCCTTTTGAGCTAGGTGCATCTTTCTGGGCGTTCACCCCCCGCCCCAAACCCTATTTGTCAGTGTAACCCAGTTAGATGTGGTCCTGGCGCAGGCAGCCGCCCGCGTCCCTTCAGCGAACCCCTCACCTGACACCAGGAGGCAGCAGCCCAGCCAGCTCCAGAGAGTCCGCTTCATGGCCGCGCCGGCCGGGCGCTCCGGCCTCCCTAGCCGTGGCTGCCCGGGTTCTCGACCCTGCCCCCGCCTGCCCCGCCAGTTCCCGGAAGAGCCCGGAGGCGGGGCGACTCGGGCTCCCCCTCCCGCGGAGGCCCCGCCCCACCCCGTCCCCGCCGGGCTCTAGACGTGTCCGCAGGAGCACAGATCTGCTTGCACACGTACGGAGAAACAGCTCAGAAGGCCATCACCAAGTCTGTATGAAAAGTATTTTTGTATTATCCTTTACCATCTTCCAACCATTATACAGAATTAAAAATACACATATATAAATGAAAGCACAATTACCCCAAAAGATTAATCTGGAAGTCTTAAAAATATGTATCATAGGCACGCCTACACAGAAATAGACTGTGTACATGCTAAGATTCGTTTCCTGTGCAATTTCATGATATTAAACCCTTTGAGTTACTTTACAGCAGTTATAACAATTATCAGTCCTTTAATTAGGACAAGTATAATTTGTGTGTGTGTGTGTGTGTGTTTTTCCCTTTTGAGCCCAGGGAAAGGTGTAAGGAACCTGCTCTTGTGAGGGGCTGGTTTGCAGTACCTCCACCTGTACATTTTTTGCTCTTTCTCCCAGAATCATAGAATCTTGGACATTGCCTAGCCCAAATCCCTCAATTCATACTAAGGCTCAGAGAGGCAATCTGAAGTGCCCAGCGTCACAAAGTGAAACTGGGGCATAGAACCCGGGTCCCAGCCCTTGTACTGTTTGCTATAGGATATTCTAGAACTTCCGTTTTTGCTTTTTCAGATTCACAGGAACTGTCATTACATGCAAGGCATTTGAAATCAGCATATGCTGTTGTTACATGCCATGGATTCAGTTCTAACTCATTGACCCTATATAGGATTTCTGAGAAGCAGCTGGTGGATTTGAACCACCGACCTTGTGGTTAGCAGTCAAGTACTTATCCTACAGTGCCAAACCAGGGTTCCATAGAGAATCTGTAGGGGGTTTTATGCAGTATTTCTTCTGAAGACCCTGAAATAGTTAGTTGCACATTTGCTCTCACTTTTTTTAGTCTCATAACAAGCCACTGAGATTCAATTTCTTTCTCCCAATAGTCTCCCTCAATTTACTCTCCTACCTTGAATTACAATTGAATGTGTGGGTGTGTGGCTTCCCCACTTAACCTGAGAAAGATTGGAAGAGGGGCCTGAGAGACGGATTCTCGAAGCGGAGGAGGCAGAATACATTTGGGGCTAAGGATCATTCACTGAAGTATCACTGTTGTTAAGTGCCATCGAGTTGATCCCGACCCCTAGCGACCCTGTATAGGGTTTCCTAGGAGCAGCTGGTGAGCTTGAACCGCCAACCCTGCAGTTCAAATGGCTTTGCAGTCTGACGCATTAACCCACAGCGCCACACCAGGACTCCCTAATCCCCACTCTGTGCATATGTTTATTACCTCCTGTGTCCCCATCCCTGACTCTCCAAAGATCCTCCTCCTTCTCCTTTTTGTCTACCACTCCTCTGGAGTGTGCTGAGACACACAGCTCGGATCTCCACTTACTAAATGTTGCTGGCTCTTCCTGCCATGAAATGAGTTTTTTTTCCTTTTCTCTCCACACTCCTGCCCTGGCCCAATGTAACTACTTCCTGGAAATAGGACATGGCCCTTGTCTAGCCTTGTAAATCATAGGAACCCAGCTTCTTACTGTGGAAGATATATCATGTAGATACTTGTGAATACAGAGGATTTTCCCTTCAAAGTGTACTCCTACCACTTTGAAAATGTAAACAATGCTGAGTGCTGCCATGTGTCCCATACTGGGAATCTGCATATATGATGTTACAGGAAAGAACTGGACAGGTTGGACAGCTTTCTACTCTTCTTGGAAACTACTTCCAGACCACATATGGACAAGGAAAGGTACAAGGAGGGAGAACCTTGTCACAGCTACTTGTCAGTTCCAGTTGAACAGTTTTAGAATCATCTCACTATATAACCATCCCCGACATCAGCATCTGACTCAGAAGCATCACTTTCCTCTGAAACAGTATCTTCGGACCACATGTCCTCTGTGGAGGCTGGCAGTGTCCCCTCCTCCCTGGGGACTGGAAAGCTTGGTTCCATCTCACTAGGGTCCACTAGATCGACTGTCTCTTCCGGAGGAGATGGTAGCATTGGAGGGATGTCTGTGACATTGTCCAGGACCCTCACAAACACAGTGTTTAAATTCACATTAAAGATTCCTCTCCCTTTCGACCTTTCTGGGGAGCTGTTGTTCTCTTCAGAAAAGGGGTCCTGGAGCAGACTCTCTTTCCTTTCATAGGGTCTACTTGAATATTCTGACTGTTGGGGGCAGGGGCCTGGCACCAGCAGGGGCTCAGCCTCTGCCTCTGGCAGGTCAAGTTCGTCTGCATCTGGCTCTGTGAGCTGCAGCACCTCAGAGGTGGAGGAGGTAGAGATCTGAGTCAGGGCTTTGCCGATTAGTCCACGCCTGGTGTAGCCACCAGCGCTTGTTCTAGTGGCTGTTTCCTCTTCGCTGTCACTCTCCTCGTAACTGTAGTTCCACTCTTTCTTCTTTCGTTTGATATAAATGACCTCCACAGCATCCACTGCTTCCAATGGTGGCGGCTCAGGAAATATCCAGGCTGGCCAGTTATGAAAATTCTTAAAAACAAAACAAAACAACAGTCTGTGTTCATTCTGAGTTCTGGGGTCTTTATTTTTTATATAATACAACTTGATGAGCTGAACTATATGATGGTGAGGATGATGCTGATGGTGGCAACAACCACCTTAATAATGGCTAACAGTGGTGGTAGTGGTAGTTATGTGCCGTGGAGTCAGTTCCGACTCATAGCAACTCTGCATAGGGTTTCTGAGGGTATGAATCTTTATGGGAACAGAAAGCCTCATCTTTCTCCCACGGAATGGCTGCTAGTTTTGAACAGCTGACCGTGAGATTAGTAGCCCAAGTCATAACCAGCTGAAAGAGGACCACCAAAGAAGAACTTACACATTGGAAATACGGAGTTAATGAAGATTGCATATACCATGGACTCAGAAGAATGAACAAATCTTGTCTTGGAGGAAGTACAGCTAGAATGCTCCCTAGAAGTGGGGATGACGAGACATATCATTAGGAGAGGCCAGTCCCTAGAAAAGCACATCATGCTTCCTTCGTAAAGTGGACGGTCAGTGAAAACAGAGGAAGACCCTCAATGGTTGACACATGGCTGCAACTATGGGCTCAGATATACCTACTATTGTACGGATGGTGCAAGACCAAGCAATGTCTTGTTCTCTTATACAGAAGGCTGCTATGAGTGAGCGCTAACTTGACAGTACCTAACAATAACTGTAGATAAAACCAAAACCATACAAGTTGCCACTGAGTGGATTCTGACTCATGGCAGCCCCATGTACTGCAGAGTTGAATTGTATTCCATACAGTTTTCAAAGTTGTGACCTCTCAGAAGCAGATTGCCAGACCTTTCCTCCAAGGTACCTTTGGGTGGGTTTGAACCACTAACCTTTTGGTTAGGAGTCAAGTGCTTAGCTTTTTGCACCACCCAGAGCTCCTAACAGTAAATTGTTGTTGTTAAGTTCTGACTAACAGCGAACCTGTATAGTTTCCAAGAAGCAACTGGTGAGTTTGAACAGTTGACTTTGTGGTTCAAACTGACTTTGCAGTCCAGCGCATTAATCCACAGCATACACCAGGACTCACCTGCTTACTTGAGCACAGGGGAAATCTCTCCACTTAAGCTGGAAGTTTATCCAACTGTGGATTACCAAGACATCCTTGTTGCTGTTGTTAAGTGCCATCGAGTCATTTCTGACTCATTACAACACTGTATAGGGTTATTGAGGCTGATGAGTTTGAACCACTGACCTTGTGGTTGAGTGTATATCCTACAGTGCCACACCAGGACTCCTAAGATATCCTTAAGGGGTATCAAAGAGTGGGTGTACTCTAGAAAGGCCACTTCGTCAGGGTCAAAAACCAGGGGAATGTGTACCCCTTGATCTGGAGGTGTAGAGATCTCTCAAAGGTAAAAGCTCAGAGCTGGAAGGGGTGTATGGTAGAAAACGCGTACTGGACACAGAGGGTGGAGTGAATAAACAGAAAACAAGGCAGGCTGAGTTTCACTTAGTTGGGGAATTCTTCCTTCCCCAAGAGGATCGTAATGGAGCTATGGTTAAGGATAATGGTCATGGGATTCCTTTCCAAGACCTCTTATCACCATCAGCATGGTCCTCCTATTTACACCCCTGCACCTGCACCTCCACCACTTTGATGAACCTGCTCTACCCAGACCCAGCCTTGGGAGAATGGCCACAGGCAACAAAACATACTCAATACGAGAAAAGATACTCAATTAATTTACTTTCCTTAACAGCATTGACATCCTAGCTATTCAAGGAAGGAAAGACTTGGATTGTATGGGGATATGGAGCCTTAAGAATTTTAAGATCTAAAAGTTTTTTTACAAACAAGCTTTTGGAGATAATTGAAAAAGCTCAGCATTTCAAAAGAGACAAAAACCAAGTCATACTAGGTGGAATAATGGAATTAAGGAAAATTTAGAATTAGGATTTCAAGACTATTGTCCTAAAAGCCTATATATTAGCTGAAACTTAAAATATCAAGAAAAGGAATGTAATAATTGGAAACTGAATAAAGGCAGAAAAGTCAAAGCAGATACGCTAGTAAACTACAAAATAATGAGAGTAATCAAGCAAATAAGGATAAAAGACATTAATAAAATATAAAATTTTGGGTTAATCAGCAATAAAATAAAATAAAACATGTAAAGGATAAAAAATTATAAAGGAGAAATGTTAGTAAATGGGAAGGTAAGGATCTTCTTATAATACAGATGAGTACATTTGATAATCAAATTAAATGGATGAGTACTTTTAAAATGACAAAATATAAGGACTCACTAAGAAACAGAGGACAATATAAACGCAAATAATAGAGCAAGAAATCATTTACGTTTCCAACGAATGACATTCCAAAGAACATTATCTATTATGTCAACATGCAGACTCCAAGGACAGATAAGACAGCTAACTAATGAAGATTACCATCGGGGGTGGGGGGTGGGGGGGGAAATAAATTAGGCCAGTCTCATTTATTAGCATAAATCTAAAAGTGCTATGTAAGATTTTAGAAAAAAACAAAATAACAAAATAATTATTTACTATGAATAGGAGGATTTGTTTACTTTGAAAAATGCCAGGCTAATATTTGCAATGAAAATGATAAAGAGTAAATCTCAAATAATTATCTCAACAGATGTTCTATTGGGTTATCTTTCTCTTATAGATTCACAGTAATTCTTTAAAAAATATGTACACGAAATGTTTGAGAATTATTTTGTTACATATATTTTCTCTCAGTCTGTGCTTTATCATTTTACTCTCTTCATGGCATTGTTGTTGTTGTTGTGTGCCGTGGAGTCGGTTCTGACTCACAGCGACCCTGTACAGGGTTTCCGAGGCTGTAAATCTTTACTGGAGCAGAAAGCCTCATCTTTCTCCCACAGAACAGCTGGTAGTTTCGAACTGCTGACTGTGAGGTTCGCAGCCCAATTCATAACCTCTATACTACCAGAGCACCTTCTTTATGGCGTTAGATGGGGGGACAAAATTCTTAATTTTAATGTAAGAAAACTTTTCATTTAAAAAACAAAGCAAAAACTTTATGGCTTTTGATGGTTTTATATTTGAAGAAAACCTTCCTTATCTCAAAGTCATATGTTGTTGTGAAATGCCGTCAAGTCAGTTTTGACTCACAGTGACTATGTACAGGGTTTCTGAGGCTGTAAATCTTTGCAGGAGCTGAAAGCCTCGTCTTTCAGGAATAGGTGGCTGGTAGGCTTGAACTGCTAACCTTGAGGTTTATAATCTAGTAGAATCTCATATAATGCTTTCTACAACTTCTCCAGTTTTGTCTTTTATATTCTAGTCTAACTGGAACTGATGCGTGTGTACAGTGTGAGGTAGGAGACAAACTTCATTTCTCCTCATATGTTGTTGTTCAGTTCAATCATGTTGGTTTCATAGCGAGCCTATGCACAACAGAATGAAACACTGCAGGTTCAAATGCCATACTAACAACTGTTATCTTTCAGCCTATTGTTGCTACCACTCTGCCAATCCATCTTATTGGGAGTCTTCCTCCTTTTTGCTGACCCTTCAATTTGCCAAACATGATGTCCTTCTTCAGGGATTAGTCTCTCTTGATAATTGGTCCCTCCAAAGTATGACAGGTGAAGTCTTGCCATCCTGGCTTCTAAGGAGCATTCTAACTATACTTCTTCTAAGACAGATTGGTTTGTTCTTCTGGCAGTCCATGGTACTTTTAATCTTTTCCAACATAATTCAAATACATTGATTCTTCTTTGATCTATCTTATTTGCTGTCCAACTTTCACATGCATATAAAACAACTGAAAATCCCACGGCTTCGGTCAGGCATACCTTAGTTCTCAAACTGATTTCTTTACGCTTTCATACTTTAAAGAAGTCTTGTACACCAGATTTGCCTAATGTAGTATATCGTATTATTTCTTGACTGCTGCTTTCATGAATGTTGATTGTGGATCCAAGCAAAATGAAGTTTTCCCTTAGTCTTTTACAGTAGTGGTCCTATGCAGCATAAAATGAAGTTTTTAACAACTTCAATCTTTTCTCCATTTATCATAATGTTATATATTTAGGTCAGAACTGAGGATATTTGTTTTCTGGACTGAAGATCAAAGGCTGTAGTCTTTGATCTTTATGAGTAAATATTTTAAGTCCCTTCAATTCCAGCAAGTAAGGTTGTATCATCTGCATATCGTAGGTTGTTAATGAGCTTTCATCCAAACCTGATGTCACATCTTCTTCATATAATCCAGTTACTCTGATTATTTGCTCAGCATACAGATGGAATAAGTATGGTGAAAGGATACAACCTTGGCATTCACCTTTTCTGATATTAAACCATTCAGTGTTCCCTTGTTCTGTGTGAATGACTGCCTCCTGCTTCTTGGTCAATGTGTAGGTTGCTTATCACAATGAATTGTTCTGGCATGCCCATTCTTCGCAATGTTACTAATAGCTTGTTATGAGCCACACAGTTGAACACCTTTAGTCAATATAGCACAGGTAAACATCTTTCATGGTATTCTCTTTCAGTCAATATTCATCTGACATTGGCAATGATATTCCTTTTTCCACATCCTCATCTGAATCTGGCTTGGAATTTTGGCAGTTCCCTGTTCATATTCTATTGCAACTGAATTATGTTAAGCAAAAATTTACTTGAATGTGACATTTAATAATATTGTTTGATGAGTTTCACATTCTGTTGGGTCATCTCTTTTTGGAATGAACATAAATATGAATGCCTTCTAATTGGTTAGCCAGGAAGCTTTTTCCCAAATTTCTTGGCATAGATGTGTGAGCACCTCCAGGGCTGCATCAGTTTGTTGAAAGAGTCTATTTCTATTCCATCAATTCCTGTAGCCTTGTTTTTCACCAATGCCTTCAGTGCAGCTTGGACTTCTTCCTTTAGTACCTTTAGAACTACCTTTAGTTCTTGATCATGTGTTACCTCTTGAAATAGTTGAACATTGACATTTCTTTTTGGTACAGTAGCTCCGTGCATTCCTTTCATCTTCTTTTGATTCTTTTGGCATCATTTAATATTTTGCCCATAGAATCCCTCAATATAGTAAGTCGAGGCTTGGATTTTTTCTTCAGTTCTTTCACCTTGAGAAGTGCTGAGCATGTTCTTTTCTTTTGATTTTCTAACTCCAGGTCTTTGCACATTTGATTATAATATTTCACTTGGTTTTCTGAAACTGCCCTTTGAAATTTTCTGTTCAACTCTTTTACTTCATTTCTTCCATTAGCTTTAGCTTCTCTATACTGGAGAGCCAGTTTCAGAGTCTCTTCTGACATCCATTGTAGTCTCTTCTTTCTTGGATGCAACTTTCTTAGCCTTTTCTCACCAAGGCAGCTTTCCATTTTCTCAGAACTTCTTCCTAGCAAATCTCTGCGAGCATCCTGTGACCTTTGCAAAAAAAATCTATCCATATTACCCTTTTGGGATTCGACAAAACAGTTGCCATAATTTAACTATCCCAGTAGATCCCTTCAGAAGCTGTTGTTTTGACTGACCTTTTTTTGAGGATAACCTAAGGAGACGAAGATGAATGTATTATTGACAGAATTCATCTGCAGCCATCCGTTGGTCACAGAGACATATTCAAATACTGTTTAAAATAGACTTGTGCACGTATGAACTGGAACCCCAGTAACAATACTTTTTGGCTTACCTTCATAAAATGTCGGTATATATGTTTATAGAGATGGAAAAGAACCCAAAAATATACATAATCTCTTGGTGTTTTTAGACAATGGGATTGTCGTCTGTGAAAATATTTGTTAAAGTAAAAAATAAAGCTATAAATAAACAAACAAATCCCCCCTCCCCCCATAAAACTACATACCAAAGCTTTGGGGAAATGATTTCTTGAGCATATACAACCAATCCGTTTCATTAGTACTAAACTGCTTATGAATACAGCTGCTATTAAAAACACAGCGGTTACTCCTCCTATTTTGGCAGGTTCTGATGATTCTGTTGATGAAAAATTAAATAACTTTATTTCAAAATAAATCCAATAAATGTTCACAGAATATATGTGCTTTGGTCTGATGGTGAAAGGTTACAAGGAAGCAAAAGTTTGAAAAACTAGTTTTAAGCTATTAATACAGAATAATGAAAGGAACTCTGGTAGCATAGTGGTTATGAATCGGGCTGCGAACCTTAAGGTCAGCAGTTCAAAACTACTAGCTATTCCACGGGAGAAAGATGAGGCTTTCTGTTCCTGTAGAGATTTACAGCCTTGGTAACCCTGTGCAGGGTCGCTATGGGTTGGTTCCAACTCCATGGCACATAACCACCACCACCACAGAAGAATGAAAAGCAATCCAAATACATGTGTGTGTGTGTATATATATATACATACATATAGTATGAGGAGCTCTGGTAGTGTAGTGGATATATATGTTGTTGTTGTTGTTGTTAAGTGCCATCAAATCAATTCCGACTCATAGTGACCCCTGTATAGGGTTTCTGAGGAGCGGGTGGTAAGTTTGAACTGCTGACCTTGCAGTTCAAACAACTCTGTGGCCCAATATACATATATCTTAAGTGATGTTGTTGTTGTTGTTAAGTGCCTTCAAGTCAGTTCTGATTCATAATGACCTTGTACAGGGCTTTTGAGCAGCTGGTCAACTTGAACTGCCGACCTTGCGGTTCAAACCGACCTTGCAGTCCAGTGCATTAACCCACAACGCCCCACCAGGATTTAATTGTTTCAATTTGTTCTGTAGTTGCACTGGCCAGTATGGTAGCCATTAGCCACATGTGGCTATTTAATTTGAAATTTATCAACATTAAATAAAATGTCAATCTCAGTTTCACAGTCGTACTAGTTGCATTTCAAATGTCGCTAGCTACCTGTCAATATGGACTGTAGGCAGGAAGAAGTGGAAAAAGAGGAGTCTTCCGGAAAAAAAAAGCAACTGCGTCATTCTGTGGCTGCACTTTGGTCAAGTCGGGACCAGAATCAGGACTCTGCAGCCCATGCCTTATCCTGTTACAATTTCTCCTTAGATTTTTTGTCAAAATTCCTTTGGAAAATTTCAATCCTTTTTCACTTAAGTCCAACTAGACTGAGAAGAAGTGGGTAGTTAAATATCTAAAAAACAGGCCCAAATCAAACC